AAGATATTAACTTTTCAGTAAAGAAACCTGTTAGACCTCACCTGTAACCAAGTGATCAAGGGGATATTAGCAGTGACAAGACACATCAACATCACAGACATTCTGACGTGGTGCACTGAGAAGTTCCCTCTGTGGCATCCTTCCCCAAAATGCGTGCCCTCAGTCGAATGTGAGAAAACATCAGAATAACCGCAATTGAGGGGCATTCTACGAAATAACTGATCGGTACCCTTTAAAAGCAGAAAAGTCACAAAAGACAAAGACAAACTGAGGAAGTGTCACAGAGCGGAAGAGACTAAAAAGACATGAAAACTAAATGCGATGTGGGAACCTAGACTGGATCCTGGACCAGAAAAAGGACAGTAGTGGGAAAACCAGGGAACTTTAAATAAAGTCTGTAGACTATTAATAGTAGTATATTAGGGTTAATTTCCTGGGTTCGATAGTTGTACCATGGTTATTACATAAGATGCTGACATTAGGAGGTGTTGGATGAAAGGTATGTGGGAACTCTCTGTACTACATTTGAAACTTTTCTATAAGCCTAGAATTATGTCAAAACAAAAATAAAAATAAAAAATCTAGCTGGGCGTGGTGGTGCACACCTGTGGTCCCGGCTACTCGTGAGGCTGAGGCGGGAGGATCGCTTGAGCCCAGGAGTTTGAGGCTGTAGCGTGCTACGATTGGGCCTGTGAATAGCTACTGCACCCCAGCCCGGGCAACACAGTGGGACTTCACCTCTAAATAAGTAAATAAATAAATAAAATTTAAAAAGCATAAATCGGCCAGGCGCGGTGGCTCATGCCTGTAATCCTAGCTGTCTGGGAGGCCGAGGCAGGAGGATTATTTGAGCTCAGGAGTTCGAAACCAGCCTGAGCAAGAGCGAGACCCCGTCTCTACTAAAAATAGAAAGAAATTAATTGGACAACTGAAAATATATAGAGAAATTAGCCGGGCATGGTGGCGCATGCCTGTAGTCCCAGCTACTTGGGAGGCTGAGGCAGGAGGATCGCTTGAGCCCAGGAGTGTGAGGTTGCTGTGAGCTAGGCTGATGCCGTGGCACTCACTCTAGCCCGGGCAACACAGTGAGACTCTGTCTCAAAAAAAAAAAAAAAAAAAGCATAAATCTAAGGTCTAGTATGTCCCCAAGAGGTTTGGTTGAACTAATAGTGTAAGTATAAAACACACATACAACATTTAAGGAAAAAACTATAAGGCCAAGACAATAGCTGAAACTGTAACTAATAATTCTTGCAGACAGCTGCCCAAGACCTAAGGTTTGTAGGTACGTGTCCCCAGAGCTGAAGCAATAAGCTGAAGGGTTAGAGTATACGGGGAAACCTCAGAGCCCTGGCCCAATCTCACATGCACTGTAAGAGACCCTCCTACCAGCCTTCCTCTTTAGCCTCTACTTGAATGACTCTGATAATTGGAAGCTCATTACTCTACTCTTCTGGATGATTTTTAGTTTGTGAGCCCAAGTGCTATTGATAGGATGAGAAATTGGAAACACCCCGAATGAACTGGGCCAAGTTATCCTAGCTACCAAGATGAGGAGCTCTGTATGGCCACTGAAAGTGAGAAGAGTATGGCAATCCTAAGGCATGAACATGTGAGTAATCCAAAGTGACAAGAGCAGCAGTTGCTTTGACACATTGCTCACAGCTATGTTGAAATCTAAGCGTGTACAGTAAGAGCTGGAAGAAAATTCAGAAGGGTGCAAATCATTGTTTTAAGTTGTCTCGATTTTTTAAAAAGTGATATATGTATAGAGTTTTCAATGGAATAGTACCCAGAATTTTAAAAAAATACCCTCCATTAAAGGACTTGGGGATTGTCGCTTTATGATTGAGAATGGCCGCGTGGAGCACTAGATCGGGAAGGAGTCTAAGGCCACGTCTGAGCACTGTGGGAAGGAGTGACGTGATGTCTGCCATGGGTGAAGAGTGAACAGTGGCAGCGCGCATGCTATGTCGTTGTCACCTCTTCTAGTGACACTCCCAGCTCCCAGTTTCACTTTTGTAGACCTCTAAAAGGCAGGTCTGTGCTGATTAAGGATCAATGTGCAGGAAAAGGCCTCTTCTTTGAGTTACAAGCTGTAGGATTTGGGGCAAGTCACTGGGATGTAAGGCAGTATGAAATAAATACCCTATGGAAAAGAAAAGCAAAATCCTCTGCAACAGGGGTCAATTTGAGAGTAGGTGGGCACAACAGGGAAGACTTGTGGCATTTGTACTGGCTCTTGCAGGATGAGGGGCCTTTGCAGGTGGATATGCCTGGGAAGGGTATTTCTTATGGAGGGCATGGCATGCACAGCCACGGAGGTTGGAAAATAACAGGCCTCCCTGGGAGAAAGCAAACAGTATGCACAGGTTACTAGTGGAAGATAAGTTGGAAATGTAGGAAGGGACCGAATTGAGAGCATCCTGAACACTAGGGTGACAAGTTTGGATTTTATTTAGTTAGCCACAGGAGGATGAGACTAGAAAACGGTAAGAAAATGCTCCCTTCCTGGAGACCACTACCATGAGGGACCTCAGGCCTGGTTTTTGACAAGAGCCCTTTGGGGTATGGGGTGGAAATCTGAGCACTGGGATGATGGGGTGTGGGAGACACAACTAAATCCCACTGAGAACAGTCCCATGGGCTCCATCTACTGCTCAGGGTCTCCTGAGCTCCAGGCCAGGCACAGAGATGCACAAGCCTCAGTCTCTGCTCTCTAGGAACTTCTAATCCATGGAGAAAAGACACATGCTCCCAAGAAGCAACTGGAGACCAATCCCAGACAGGGTGAGATCCAGTCCCAAGGGGAGGACACCAGCTGGGTGTGAAGCACTAGGGGTAGAGGAACTTGGGCAGGAGCCAGCATGTCAGGTGTCCTAGGGCTTCTGCACTCTGCAGAAGGTGGCCTTGGATGGTTTCTAAGGTGTCCTCAGGCTCTGCAGATCCCTGGCTCTAGGGGGAGAGGCCTGGAAGGAGGCCAGAATTTGACAGAGAGAAGGGAGAAAAGTGGGCTTTCCAGATATGGGGTTGGGAGGAGCAGGCCAGGGGCAGGAGAGGACTTGGGAGGCCAGGGACTCTGAGGAGACTGACTGAGCTGTCAGAAGATCAGGTTGGATAGGCAGGGGCTGTGGCCCCCCCAGGGCCTGGCAGCCAATCAGGGATGCCCTGGCTGGATGTAGCTGGCCAGGGACGCTCAGAAGGGCTGTGGTGTGACTGGGGTTTGAGAAGGTGAGCCTGGCAGCCTCCAGACCCCTCGGGCCCTACCACATAAGGAAAGGTCCCTGGAGGCCCATGCTGGCAAGTTGGGTGGGTCTCACAAGACTTTGGAGATCCCACGGATTCTGCTACATTCATAGGATTTGGCAAGATTCCAAGGATCCAATAACTTTCTTTTGCCTGCTCTTCCAAATCTGGAATCACCACCCCTGGGAAGCCACTCTCTACCTTGCCTTCTACCCCCAGGTCCAATGTCTCTCTGGGGACTTGCGTGGAGGAATGGGAGCTAAGCTGGCCTAGAGACACAGTCAGGCCGGGGACTTCTGGTTCCTCCTTCCCCTCCCCCATCATAGGGGAGGCTTCAGGGCTCTAGCGGAGCAGCGGGTGGCAGTGGCCGGGGTGGAAAATCCCCCCCTGGCTGGATGATATCAGTGTTTGGCAGGTCTGGTCCTGGCCTTCTGCCTGGGGCCCGAGGACTTGAAACATCTGCTTGGAGCCCTGAGTGCAGGGTACAAGGAGGCAGAGAGAGTGTTGGCATGGGGACTTTTTCCACTCACCCCAAAATGGAGAGCTTCCCTGGGCCAGGGGAGCAAACGCTGGGCCAGCTCCAGTGTTTAGGCAACGGGAAGCTTGGAGATTGGGAAGCGGGATGGGGGGATTGGGGCAGATGGGGGAGGGGGTGGAGAAGGGGGGTGGGGTGGGATCTGGAGATAAGGGCTAGAGCAACAGGGTAAGTCAGACTTGGGGGCCAGACAAGGCTTGGGAGAGGATAATGGGGGGTGTACGCAGGCATTTTAGGAGAACTAAAGATGGAGCAGAGGCACAATGGAGTGGGAGAAAAGGCAACAAAGGACAGAAGCAAGGGGCAGGCCTGTCCCCTCTTCCCAGGCCCCTGCTCCAGCCTCTGTTCCAGGCTGGGATGAGAGGCACAACCAGAAGCCGGTGTGGCTTACTCTGTGAGCTTGTCCTGAGCACTTGCTGAATTAGGACGACAATTTCTCCAAACATCCCATTCGATCTTGGAAGCCTCCGAAGCCACCCAGACAGCTCCGGTTCCCAGCCCCACCGCCACACTGCCATTACTGCCACCGTCAGCACAGCCCCACCCCACCCCCATTTTCACAACCCTCTCCCTCGACACTGAGCCCTGCACCAGCCAGGCGTGGAGGGCGCTGGGAGTCAGAACTTGGGTGAGTCTGCAAGCTCATCACCTACAGACCAGCACTTCCCAGCAATTTTGCCTCCCAGGGAACATGTAGCAATGCCTGGAGACATTTTTGGTTGTCACAGCTGAGGAACTGCTCCTGGCATTGAGTGGGTAGAGGCCAAGGATGCTGCTAAACATTTCACTGTGCACAGGACAGAGCCCACGACAAAGAATCCTTTGTCCCCAAATGTCAATAGCGCTGAGGTTGAGAAACCCTGCCTGCAGAGCCTATGCCCCTCACTCTGGCTCTACCTTATCCTGGCCCTGGTCCCCAAATGCCCACATCATACCTCTGGTTTCTGGACAAGAAGTAATCTTTGCCACTCCATCTTTTAGCAACTTTGTTCTCTGTTATCACTTGCACTTCCTGGCCTCCACTGCTTGTATTGAAAAGTCAATAAGATGAAAAGTCTGCTGCGGCCACCCCCGAGAGGGAAAAACACGTAGAAACGATTGATACGTGAACACAGGGTACACGCTAGATTGGGGTCATGCTTGCCCAGGGCAGGGAGGCAGGGACTGGGCTAGACCCTGGGGGTATAAAAGAGGAAGGAGCACTCAGGCCTTCACTCTTCTGCAACTGCAGAACTCGGAGTGGCTTTTCCTCTGCGGCCAGCTGGGAATCAGTATGATGAAGTGGATGGTGGTGGCCTTGGTCTACCTCCAGCTCTTGGAGGCAGCTGTCATCAGGTGAGTCTGGGGCCGGCTGCTGGTGCAGGGAGCCTGGGTGGGAGCCCAAAGCCCCCCAAGGGGCCTTTCAGCCAGGGGCTGCTCCACCTATCTCTGCTCTGAAATTTCTGCTAGGGAAGGGACATTTCTGCTGGTGTTGGACAGGACTCGGAGGTGGGAGGAGACACAGTCCCTGCCTTCAGGAAACAATCCTTTCTGGATAAGGGATAAGATAATCCTTTCTAAAAATGTTCTTAAGGCCAAAATCATCTAAGCAGAAATGCCAGTAAATGTCTATCTCTATACCCTGAGGGGTCAGGAGAAGAGTCACGGAGCAGTAGGTGGCATGGCTCACAGCTGTCGGGAGGGGAGGACCGCCTGCCTGGTGAAGAGCTGGCTCCTCTCAGAAACGTCTTTTAAAGTGCAAAAGGGGCGGTTGGCAAGGAGCAACTACCAGTCTTCAAAGGCTCAGCATGAAGGGGTTTAACAGGGAATTTCTGGAGAATGCACGGGCCTGAGGGAGTAGGGACTAAGAAGGGGAAAGACATGAAAGATGGAGGAATTCTAGAGCTGGAGTAAGGCCTGGTTGGACCCCAGAGACTCAGGCAATGGCAGCAAGCAGGCCCGGGAGGAGGAGGGCCAACGGGGTGACTATGCCCATGGGAAGAGGGGCAGAGACCATGTTCCCCAAAGTTCCAACTCCGGAGCTGATCTGGGCTCCAGGCCACCCAGGCCGACTTCCCTGGTGGCCCTGCCGTCCTGAGAAGAGCAGTGAGGAGCCCTAGGCCATACAGTTAGCAGCAGGGCTGCTAGGACCCTGTCTCCTGAGTCTCAGCTAGTTCCTGTCCCTCCATGCTCGGTCACATCCAGCCGGTGACAGGTGCCTGAGGGCCAACCATAGTAAGGGACTCTGGGGTGAGCTTTGCCATCTCTAAAACTTTCCTTTAAAAACGCACATATCCTGGAAAGGCTAATGCCTGAAGTCCCTCTCCCCTTCCTGGGAAGGAATGAATGGGATATTTGAGTGGAGGGACAGGGTGGCACCCTGAGATAGGGTAAGCGCATGCGTGGCTGGAGTTGATGGTTTTCTGAATCTCGGAGCAAAGTGCTGAGAAGAGTTTTGAAAGAAAGAGAAGCGGAGGGGAAGAAAGAGAGGCCGAGGGAGACAGAGAGACACATGCAGAGACAGAGACATAGAAACAGAGACCGAGACAGGGAGAGACAGAGAAAGAGACACAGGAGCAACAGACTCGGGGACAGAGTGGCAGAAGAGTGGGGTGCACAGGTAGAGACGGGGAGAGAGGGGAGACTGGGAAGAGAGGAAGGGGCCTGCCCTGATGCACGGCCCTTCTGCAGAGTCCCCGTGAAGAAATACAAGTCCATCCGCGAGACCGTGAAGGAGAAGGGCCTACTGGAGGAGTTCCTGAGGACCCGCAAGCACGACCCTGCTCAGAAGTACCGCTTCAACCAAGTCGTCGTGGTGGGCTACGAGCCCATATACTACAAGGACGTGAGTCCTGACCCTCCCCAAAGGCTGAGAGCCAGGCCGGGCAGCAAGCTGCACCCCTTCTCCCTGCCCCTCCACCTGCCCCCATGGTCTGCTCCCCGACCCCACACACACCTTTGCAGCTGCCCTGGGCAGAGACTGAGGTTCTGTGGGTTCTGGGCAGGTATCGGGGGGAGACTCGGGCCCCTGCTTATGGTGCGGGCTGGAGGGCAGGGGCTGGTGCCATCGCTGCTTTGCCCACAGAGAAACCTGGGCCCCGGGATGCCCCTGGAGCTAACAGCCCGCCCACGGCCCCACAGGCTTCCTACTTCGGTGAGATCGCCATTGGAACTCCACCCCAGAAATTCAAGATCCTTTTTGACACTGGCTCCTCCGACTTTTGGGTGCCCTCTATCTACTGCCGGACCGTGGCCTGCAGTGAGTGCCGGGCTGGGCAGGGCAGGGCAGGGACAGCTGGGGGGAGCTCAGTGCTGGAGAGGACGTCACAGGGAACTGCGCAGGGTCACACGGCACGCCCATGGCAGAGGGAAGAGGCTGGTGGCCCCTTTACCTTCCCTGCTGACCGAGGTGAATCCCTGCATTTATGCCACTCCACCTCACCCCACTCCATTTATCCCGCTCTAACCCATTCTGTTAACTCTGGGCAATGCCATGCCACGTCACATGAATAATTTCTACTCCATTCCATCCCACTCGATTCTACAACATTCTATTTCAGTCCACTCTACTATTTTTTTTTTTTTTTTGAGACAGAGTCTCACTGTGTTGCCCGGGCTAGAGTGCCGTGGCATCAGCCTAGCTCACAGCAACCTCAAACTCCTGGGCTCAAGCGATCCTCCTGCCTCAGCCTCCCGAGTAGCTGGGACTACAGGCATGTGCCACCATGCCCGGCTAATTTTCTCTATATATTTTTAGTTGTCCGATTAATTTCTTTCTATTTTTAGTAGAACGGGGTCTCGCTCTTGCTCAGGCTGGTCTCGAACTCCTGAGCTCAAACAATCCGCCCGCCTCGGCCTCCCAGAGTGCTAGGATTACAGGCGTGAGCCACCGCGCCCGGCCTCCGCTCTACTACTAAGTTCTCACTGAGTGTCTCTAAGAGACATGACAGAATGCGGGGTGAGGTCCCTGGACTGTTGCAGTTTTGGGAGACAGACAGTGTTCACTTTGTCCTGGTCCCTGCCAAAGCCTTGGGGTTTTGGTCCCGACACCTCTGGCCCAACGGGTCCCTCAACAGTGAAGGTTGGGGCACTTGGGGATGCCCTGGAGGGTTGGGGGAATTACTCCTTCATCTGCTGAGTGATTAGTTCCTCAGGCCCCCGCTGTGTGCCAGGTGCTCTGCCAGGGCTGGGGACGCAGAGATGGGTTCTATGCAACCTTGCCCACAGGGAGGCCACGGTCCTGGGGCATCCCAAGATTCCATAAGTCAGAGGGGGCTTTGGGGCCAAGGCTGGCCAGCTCTCATGGGCCTTCCAACACCAGGAGCCTTGGCTGGCTCCCCCTGACTTGGTGAGCAGGGCTGCTAAGGCCCAGGCTGGGTGAGAGGCAGAGGTGGGAGCCCTACGGGCCTGAGAGCCGGCAGCCCTGCGTTCATTTGCCCGCCTGACGCTCCGTCCTCTCCCTCTGCCTGCAGCCAACCATTCTCGCTTCGACCCCTCCAAGTCTTCCACTTTCTCCACCAAGTGGCAGTCCTTCTCCCTGGAGTACGGCAGCGGCAGCCTCAGCGGCTTCTTTGCCTACGACACTGTGGCTGTGAGTGGGTGTCACCGGTCGCTCCCCCACCTGGGGTATGGGAATGGAGGCCAGGGCTGTGAGCTGTGAGCGGGCAGGGACACTTATACGGAGCCCCTGAAGCATGGGGAAATGCTAGTGCTTGGCTGTGCAGGACAGGAAGGCAAGACAAGAGGGGCTTATTCAGTGACTCATTGAACACTCACTGTCGGCCACCACGTGTTGGGCACGGGGGCACCATGCTGGACGGAGACAGACATTGTCCTTTTTCTTAAGGAGCTTAAAGCCTGGGGAGTTCAGACAAGAGAGAGAGGGCGTGGGGAGGGGTGCTGCAGTCAGGGAAGGCTGCCTGAAAGAGGTAGCTCCTGCAAGACCTGTCAAAAAGGGAAGGGGCAGAAATAAGGAAGGGATGAAGAGGAGAGCTTCGAGGGGTCTTTGGGCAGCCTGGGGGAGACAGGTGGAGTCAGACTTGTCACCTTCCCTCCTTTGTGTGCACCCCCCCAACCCCCAGTTCCCGACCATCCAGATCCCTGACCAGCAGTTTGGCCTGAGCGACTATGAGCGCGGTATGGCTTTTTTCTACTCAGAGTTTGACGGCATCCTGGGCATGGGCTACCCTGACCTGTCCACGAATGGGGCCACCACAGTCTTCGAGGGAATGCTGCAACAGGAGATTCTCACCGACCCTGTCTTCAGCTTCTACCTCTACAAGTGAGGAACCGCCACCTCCCAGCCCCTCCCCTGCAGCGCTGCACCACTGAGGCTCAGTGCTTTGGGGTTTGGAGGCCTCCCAGCAGGCACCTGGCTCCAGCCACTCCTGTTCCAGGGCCTTCCCTCCTGGGCATCCGAGTCCTCCCCAACCCCACCCCTGTGTCTATCCCCAGCCCACTCCGACTTTTCTTTGCATTCCTTGGCCTTGGCCCGGACAGAATCTCTCCCACTTCCAGCTGGACTTTGCTCTGGTTCTTGGCACCTCTCAGATTTGTCTCCCGCCTGGGGCCCCAGTTAGCTCACTTCCTTCTAACTAAATGTTTTCTACCTGTATACCTCTTTTGTATAGTAATCTATTGCTTCATCTTCTTTGATCTATTGTTCTAGCCTGGTCCTGGAGTCTTCTGGTCTAGATCCACCACTGACTTCTAACAAGCTGTGATTCTTACCAGCAAACGCAAGCAAACGCAGTCATTTAGAGGGTGACCTGGCACTGACTTCTCTTTTCCTCTTCCAAATCAGCCAGCCACCTTCTCCAGCCAACCACCTTCTCCAGACAGTTAGCATCTACTGTCTAAGGCTTAATCACTTGAATATGACTTTGAACAACATCAACCTGTTACCGATGTTGCTAACTTACTCTCTGCCTCTGTTCACAATCTGTCTGCCTGTGACCTTTACGAGCTCCACCCAGTCCCACACTCCAGCCGCCAGGGGAGGCCTCTGCAACAAACACCGAATGTCCTTCCCTCCCATTCACCAAGGCCCTATCTCTCTCCAGTCCCAGCAGAAAATTAACAAGCTGGGTGGGCCCGGATGGGGCTCCTGGTGACATGTTCCACTAGTGGCATGAAGTGGAAGGCAGAGGAGAGGGAGTGTGGGGTGGGGTGGGGGTCCCAACAACGAGGGGCTCCCCTGGAGGCAGGCATCATTCCAGAGCCTGAGACACTGGGAATTCTGAGAGGCCCAGCCAGAGGGGAGCCCCAGTCTGAGGGGAGACACGGCCCTGTCCTCGGGGAGCCACAGTCTGAAGCCAGGGAAGGAGCTCTGTTTCCCTCCTAAGGTGACTGCTTAGCAGGAAAGTTCTTTTCCACAGCTCTCCCTGACTTACCCTTGCTTTTGGCTCTGCAGGCGGACGGTCACTGAGCTTGGGGGAGTGATCATCTTTGGGGGTGTGGACAACAGCGTGTACACAGGGCAGATCCACTGGGCCCCCGTCACCCAGAAGCTCTACTGGCAGATCGGCATTGAGGGGTGAGTCTGGTGGGGCCCTGGGCTGCAGCACTCCCTTCAGTGGGCTTCAAGGCACCCCATGTCACACACACAACCAGGCACTGCTGGTGGGGGCGTGCAGAGGATTGCTCCACAAAGCCACAGCTGCTCTCTGCAGGAGTGTCAAAGCCCTGGAGAAGACGGGTGGCAGGGGGACAACATAAAGAGGGGCAGGACCTAGAATCCCAAACATTGGAGACCCTGTGGTCCAACCCCATCTATAAACATTATAGCTGGTTTACAGATTAGAAATGGGGTGGGGGGTGTGGTGAGTAATATGCTCAAAATCCTTGCAATGAATCAGTGGCCCTGGTTTTCAGTGTTTTTAGAACCTTCCTCAAAATTTTTAGGAATAGATCCCATGGCCAATGAGGTGACCTTGGACAGATTCTGGTATGGTGTGATTAGGGCAATCGCTGGATTGCCCTCTGCAGGGTCCTTACTTTCCTAAGTACGGCTTGATTCTGCGGCTAGCTGCCTGTCCCTCAGCGGTGGGGAGAGCCCACCCCCAGCTGCCCTGAGCTGGTGGGGTGCTGAGGCCGCTCGTCTCTCCCGTTCAGGTTCCTCATTGGCCAGCAGGCCACCAGCTGGTGCTCCCAGGGCTGCCAGGCCATCGTGGACACAGGCACCGCTCTGCTCACCGTGCCTGAGGAGTACCTGAGTGAACTTGTGCAGGCCACAGGGGCCATGGAGAACGAGGATGGACAGGTGCATCTAGTGGGGGTGTCCCCCTCCCCCGGGGAGGCCAGCCCAGAGGCACTCATGGTTTCTCCTGGGAACACAAGAATAGCCTGACTTGGCCTCCATGTCTCCAGCTGCCCAAGGAACTGGAGGTGGAGGGACCTCGGCTGACTGGGGCTGGGGGCTGATTGGGGGCCTGGAGGTTCAGGTGGGCCAGAGGCTTGTGCTGAGTGCGGATGGGAGGTTACTATCAGGCATGAGTTTCTCTGAGCTGCAGTCATTCAGAGGAAACAGATTAAACACTTGCTGGGCTTTAGGGTAAGAGCAAAGTAACCAGAATGTGGGGCTAAGCAAGTGAATGACAAGCGCTAACCTTTAATCCATGCCTCTCCCACCTCCACAGGGCCATGCGCCACCCCCTCCCCCGCCCCCAGTCCTGAGCCCAGCAAAGAGTTTGCCTAATTAACCCATCCCCGCTGACGGGACCAATGGGGTGCTCTCTCTGCAGATCTGTGTATTTTAAAAGGACACTTGTAGAGGAAGGGAAGAGAGTCAATCTTTCATAGGGAAAATTCAGGCAAGAGAAATGTTTGTGGGGTGGGGGAGATTCTCAGGTCTCCCCACCTTATACCCATTCTATAGGAGTTCATATGTGTAACACTGGCCCTATCTACACAGGACTTTTCCTTGGAGCGGCATCCTCCAGTCCAAAAGCAGGCTTGGGGCTTGGCCTGGGGCTCAGGCCCGGGATCCCAGGGACAGGGTGATGGAGTTAGTGGGGTCTCTCAGGTGGAAGATATGGCACCTGGGAACCTGTTTCTCTTGGCAGTATCTCGTGAACTGTGACAAGGTCGAGAACCTGCCCAACTTCACCTTCGTCATCAACGGTGCGCAGCTCCCTCTGCCACCCTCCGCCTACATCCTCACTGTAAGTCCTGGTCCCTGCAGGCTGAGCCACCATGACTGGGGGTGGGAGGAAGGGGTGTGGAGCCAGAAATGCTCGGCCTCCTTACCTTGAGCCGTTTCCCGACTCTTTGCAACACTGATTTTATCCATCCATTGATTCTAAACCCCTTCTTTGGAACAAGGCTATGAAATAGAAAAGTGTCATCTATTATCAATTAATATTAATTAATGGGGAGAGGCACTGGGCTCTTTGTTGAGCACTTACTGGGGCCAGCCACTGGGTGAGGCCCTTTGCCTACACTATCCCGCTTAATTGTCACATTTGATTAGAAAGATGCTCATTTCTGTTTTACAAATGAAAACTTGGAGGTTCAGGGAGGTTAAGTAACTGACTCAAGGCTACACAGCTTAGTCAGGGCGAATCTGAGGTTTGAATCCAAGTTCATCTGGCTCCAGGGTTTAACCACCATGCTGATCTGCTCCAAACCGGTCATAGGGGGGAGGCCTGTGGGAAAAGGAGTTTCTCACCATGGAGAGAGGAGACCCTGTGGAGGACCACGACAGCCTGAATTTACCTATTCCAGAAATCCCTCCCACTGGTGGTTCAGCTGGCCTGTGAGCCCTCAAGGGCAGAGACCTTGGCTCACTTATTTCTGCATTTATACCTCTAGCCCAGGGCTCAGGGCTGAGCAGTGCCCGGCTCATGTGTGAGCAAATGAGTCCTGCCTTTCTGTGTTGAGCAGAACGGTGTATTCTGCGACGTGGGAATCGAGGTCACCTACCTGCCCTCTGAGAACGGCCAGCCCCTGTGGATCTTTGGGGATATCTTCCTCAAGTTCTACTATTCCATCTTCGACATGGGCAACAACAGGGTGGGCTTTGCCACTGCCCTCTAGACATGCTGCCTGGACATGTGGGCTCCCTTCTTCCTCTTGGCCCTGCCCCTGCAGGGTGGGGGGGTTCTCTCTCTGTGGCCCCCCTCTGGATTCAGCCTTCCTTTTCTGGACTCTGGACTTTCTCTAACAATAAATAGATCTTTCTTATGTTGGCCAGCCTGTTGTTTTTGGAGGGGAGTTGTGGCCTGTAAGGTGTTTCTAGTCTCAGGGTATTGGGAGAATGAGAGTCAGGGGCAAATTTCACTTTGATGGACCATGTTCTCCCTGAGTGGCTAGGTTTCCTGGTGGGTCACTGAGATTCTAAGAGAAATGGGCCTAAGGCACAGCTTGGGGATGGGCTCTGTACTCCTCAGAGCTTAGAGTTGTCCATACCTCCGCCCCCCAGAGGGAAGACAGTGGTAGTGGCATTGCGGGGGTATTCCTTTTCCTTTGTGATAGGCAAAGGGGCCCTACTCTAACAATCTGAAATGCTCTGCTGACCCATCTACCAAACTACAATCAGAACCACCCCTAGGACATCAGGACCCACACACATGTCCACTAGCAGTATGATTAGTGGTCTGACCCACCTCAGATCTAGGCATCTGTCCCCTCACCTGTTGATCTAGTTTGGACTAGAAGTTTCTGAGAAAACTAGTTTCCTCAGAAAGTAGAAGGATGCCTGTTGGATGCCTATGTGTACTTGTAAAAGTCATAGGATCCTTTGGGGTGAGGGTAATACTTCCAGAAACTATTTCCGGGAGAGCTTCAGAAGGCTGGGGCTAAGTTAGGCTGATTGTATTTTTACCCGGACCCTTATGTCCCAGGACCTGTATTTGAAGGAGGGCCGGCCCTCAGCTGTGGACAAGAGGGTTAGCTACTTGAGTCACATAGAAATCAAGTCCACTTGCTCTAACCAACTCAGCAAGAGGTCTTGTCCCTCTAGACTTCATCCTTGTCTTTCTTAGGATCCTCCTAGCTATATATCCAGAAACCTGGGGCGACATGGCTTGCAGGGGAGGCAGCGGGGAGAAAGCAGAGAACGATGGCTCAGCACCCAGTTAACTTCCAACAGGGGAAGGTGACATGAAAGGAGATCAGGTCCAGCAACATGGTGGTGGGGGCGTGCCAGCAAGCTCGGGCTCATAAGGGGATGTAAGTGGAAAACCCAT